ATGATATTTGAAATCTGAGAAACGATTTTGATAAGATCCACACAGATGGCTTAAATATATATGTTTTTGAATATCAATATTAACACTAAACCTACCAACATTTTTATGTTGTATCTATCCCTACCGGTGGCGGTCAATGACCGCTTTTCAAATTTTCATTGCTAGTTGTTGATTAGAAAGGTTTATTTTTCATTTATAAAAATTAAACATTAACTTGAAATTACACAATATTTTCACAAAATACTGATTTGAAAAATCACAAATGGATAGTGTGTTATTCGTAGACTGGTTGAAGATGTAATGGAGAAAGACATTTTTTAAAAAATATTTTTACCAAGATTTTCAAATCAGTATTTTGTGAAAATATTGTGTAATTTCAAGTTAATGTTTATAATATATAGTGTAGTGCATTACCATATCTAATACCATGGATTATTAAAATTTTCCAATTTAACACTAAGATCTACTAATTGTAAGTACTATTACTATTTTATTTTTTCTTTTCACTCCAATTCAATTCTTTTAGTTTTTAATTTTATTTTTAGTTTCCACTGAATGAAGGCTAGGATTATAGCCGAAACGTATGGATTTAAAATAAATTTTTGAAAGAAATTCATGTTTTTTATTGATGTTATGCCCGATTATTAGACTTTGTTAATATATATATATATATATATATATATATATATATATATATTATAGTCAAGTCCCTGTGTGGATCTTATCAAATCGTTTCTCAGATTTCAAATATCATTCGGTTGCTTATGCCAAAATGTGAATACAATTCTGTTTGTAAATTTGTGTTCATTGGTATAGATTTTATAACATATTAAATTTCCGTGGTTAAGGTACAGTAATCGCAAAGTATCGACAATGGAATTTTGATATATCTTTACGTTTCATATATTGCTGAACATTTTGGCATACTATTGAAAAAATGATTCAAAAACACTTTATTACATTACATTAAAATGCCATCTGGCGGGCAAAAATGATCTCAGAAATCATGAGATGTTAATAACTATAAATTTTGTTCATATTGCTATGGGTTATGTACCAATGTTTATCCACTGGTACGCAACGCGGCGCTTACGCGCTTCAGGAAAGTTCAAGTTATGAAAGTGTATTTCAATTTTTTTTAAAAGAGACAAATATTTTAAATCTATTTTTTCAGTTTATCAAATTTTTAAATTTATGATGCGGTTAGTTTCAGTAATTTGGCTTAAGACACGATGCCATGCGACACTAGTTATATTTGTTAAAACTTTTAACTTTAAGTTGCATAATTCATAAATGAATTCTACTCCCATGTTTGTAAATAAGAATTGTAAATAATGCAGAAATAATTGCCTTTTCTTTTATTGTTTTTTTTTTAAATCATAAGAAAAATTAAAGTTAGTAATTTTCCCACTTATTTCATTTTTTTTTTCGAAATATGAAGAAAATTTGTATGTAGGTTTATTTACTTATAGGTTCACTGATTGGTTCGAGCTAAATGTGGAAAAAAACTTTACCTCAGACTCAAATGCAACACGACACATTATAATAATATTTACTTATAAGTCTGCCCGAAGGCAGGTCCATGGTGTTTGGTCACCACAAATCAACGATTTCCTTTCCCATTCCTCATTTATCGTTTCCATTATAACTATATTTTGAAAGTTCTGCTTCCATGTTTCTTGATCTTGTGCTCCGGTTTGCAGTACACTAACTCGTCAATCATTTGCATTCTTCTTTTTTTCAATACTTCTATTAGATCCTCAAGCTTTGCCTTGCACGAAGTCGTGCAAAAAGCACTTTTTGCAGAATAATTCCTGTCCAGATTCCTTTCCTTTTTTGGACCGTGCCCAGGGAAGTTCATTCTTGGCCCCACTTTCACAGGACTCACTTGTTACCTTATCTGTCCCTTTTCGCCGCCAGCATCCATGTCTCTCATCCTGCAGAGTTTGTCTCAGGCATAACACTCTATATTCATGCACATATATTTATATTTACCTTTTCTAAAGGTTCAAGGGTTCAATTGTCACCTTAAGTCAGATAAATGTTTAAAATATTGATTTTAACAAAGCATTGCTTCAAATTTAGAGCATTAAATTTTTAAAAACGTTTCTAAATATAGGTCCCAGTTCTTTATATGCAAACAATTTATTACTGTCGTTCCATAACTTTTATTCCACCAAGAAACTAGCTTAAATATGGTTTGAAAATAAATTTAAATGAATTGAATGTCATGTCCATATGTTAATAATGCAGGCTAAAGTATATATAATTTAAATCGCAAATTTTTCGGTTCACATTATGTATTTAAATATTGTATACATATATTAATAAGAGTAAATTTATAAAATTTAATTCTATTTGTTTATAGAATCCTGAAATGTGTTGAGAAAGTTGCTGTCCAAGCCAGACAATCCCGAGATGATCGTACAAACTTGGTTACATAATTTTGACTTGTAAGTATATAGCATATGAAATAAGTATATAGTACAGAATAAGCATTAAAAGTGAAATTTAAGTGATTCCTTGTCAATTAAATCGACATTATGACTTTGAATTGATATCTTTACATTATTTTACGCATATTTCAAAACGGTTATTATAGTTACTAAAACCCTTATTTTGGATCATATTAAGTTTTTCTATATTTAATGAAACAACAATTTCCAAGCATTTCTTAAAGAAAAACCGCAACTTTTTTAATAAAACTTGCAAACGTTTTAAAACATCGTTTAAACCAGGGCTTCTTAAACTATGGGTCCCGACCCCAAATAGTCCATTCGGAAATTCTGGGGTCGCGAGGGATTATTAGTTTTTTTTAAATTTGAAAATTTGCTTTATTTGAATTAACTACATAAGTTTAAACATTGATTTTGTCGCAATAAACTCAAATGCTCACAATTATAATTTTGCCATTTGTTGTTAGAAAACCTTTCTGTCAGTCTCATCCATAAATATAAATTATATTTAATTTTTCGTCCAAAGCCAGAATCGAGAATCCTCTTATGGAATTATTTTCACCCACTATTTTCTCACGGCTATTTCCCGTAAAAATCCCATTAAGTCTAGCTAGGAAAAAAGGAAAATGTTTACTACTGCATTTAATAAGTCTTATTTGATATGTTTAATTGATCAACGTTCAAGGCCGATTAATAATGAAATTGTTTACGGATGCCAGAGGTATAGGTATATTTTCCGCCTAAATATCGTGATTTTTAATGATTATCAGAAACAACATGAGTTTTAAAAACCATCTTAATAGTAAATTGTTATCATCGGTACTTCTAATGTAGTTATCTCAGTTATATTGCAGTATATTCAAAGAAAAACTTCGAAAGTTTTGTAATACGGAACCTTTCCTTGAGTTTGTTTTCCATTTCGTTCATCAGTTTATATCACAAAATCATTTTTCTTTTTCGAAAAGAGAAATGTCTTCAACTAAAACTTGTTGAATGCCTCTTTAAAATGATTAATTAGAAAATTACAATGTATCAATTTTAGACAAAAAAGGTTGTATGTGTTTCTATGTTTTCGGATACAAATTTTCGTCAACGATTTCGAGAGCACAGACTAACCGGTTTAAATGATTAAGAAAAAAATATTGTACTGGCTAAATGAAGAATCGATTAATTTTTTTCGAAAGGCAGGCTCAACAGTTTTGGTAATTCAAAAATAAGTTTGAAAACATCCCACTTGTTGGTCAAAAAATATCTTTAAGCATATGCACATCAAACTATCAGATAATTTGTAGAAATTTAATAAGTACAATTTTTGTTTACTTATCCGTGATCCGTACCAGGATTTATATTGTTTAATTTTAACTGTTGTGCTTCGACGCGGCGCTATCGCGCTTCGATTATTCTTTTATAAAACGGGCAAAGTCCTCTCATTTTAGTGGGACTTTGACGGAGCAGTTGTCATGCAGTTTTTAAGAGTGCAAATCATTGTGAACCCCTGATTACACGATTGAAAGTATTAACAAATAATTAGTTTCAAATGTTGCATTTGATTTTAAAATATTTCAAAAAATCTAAAACATCTAATTACATTACAATCAAAAAGCTTGTAAAATTTTTAAATTCCGGTATGGGAAGTTGTATCAATATTTCTTTGCCTTGCTTATTGCCTTTTTTTCTTGGATCCATTATATTAAACACATTTATACATTAATTTTTCTCCACAGCGATCAACAGAAGTTCAAAATGACTCCAGATCACTTGGACTATACAATAAAGCCTGAATTACCCGATAAGGTGCAACCACACTCTATAAATAACAATGGACCTCTGGACATGTCACCAGCCTCTCCTGATACCAATGATAGGTTAAGCCCAGGATCATGCGACTCTGTCCTCAATTCACCAAAAATTGAAATAAAAACTGAACAATTTGATAACTATAGCGAATATGAGGTTTCTATAGCTAATTATATGGCACAGAGGCAAGGAGACTTCAATAAAAGGATAAGAGGTAAGATTAACAGCTTGAGGTGGTGATTTATTTTACCTTTTATTTAAAATTGAGTAATACATTTAATAACTGCAAGATAGTACTAGTCCAGTCATTATAGTAAGTTCGCCTCGGAATTCGAGATACTCAGCTTCAGCTGTAAGTATGTAAATACTTGTATATTGACACCCTAAAAGTTGTCTCAAAACCTACATATGATAGAATGTAATTACCATATATAGGTTTTGAGACAACTTTTAGGGAGTCAATATACAAGTATGTACAGACATACAGCTGGGTATCTCGAATTCCGAGATTCTTACCTAATTTAAGCTTATTTAAGACTATACATAATAATGAGTTCATAAAATTATTGTTTGTGCTCTTGTTGATGCAAGTATTGCTTTATGTTAGCCAGTATCCTGAATTTTTCTCTGCACCTCAAATCGCTATATGATCACTATTTCCATTTAATATTGTACCTATAGCCAATTTGGTATTCATCCAAACTTCAATTCAATTCATCTTATTAAAGTAAATTAAGTTAAATGATCCATTAACTATTTTAATATTCTTTGTTTATTCAATTATCCATTATCCTCCATTAGATCACATAGAAAGGCCACCTTCAACATTCAGCAATGACTCCGGCATCTTAACACTGGGCAATGGCAACTCGTCTCCACCAAATGCTGATCAAATCGAATTTGAACTGAATCCAAATTTCAAAGTTTTCCAACCAAAAGATGAACTTTACAAAATGAACAGATTGTCCCAAATCAAGAAACAGCAGTATGTAGAACAACAGAGAAAACTACATCCAATTGACTTCTCATACAATCCTAACAAGTCTAGAAATTTAAAGACATATTCAGATGCATCTCAAGCAGAAGAAAGAGCAAAGAACAACTTTGCCAGTAGACGTAGCAGGTAATTATTTCATAATTATCTGATATTATTCGATTCTAACTGAATTTTTTTATTAATATTTTTATTGTTTAGATATAAGAAAAAATTGGAAGCCCAAACAAAGAACTTCAGTCTGGATTTCAGCATGATGGAATGCCAACAATTATGGGAAGAAGAGAAACGATTGTCTGCTCTTATAAGATATTTAGAAAATGTATGCACCAAAGTTGGTGTCGACAAACAGACCATGATTAAAATGCGTAAAGTTATAGTCTATAGAATTTTATGTTTGATGATCCAAGTTGTAAAATTTACAATTGGAGCTATACAGAGAATCCCACCTTTTGGGAAAGATTATAGTACAAATGGCAGATTATATAATGAATTATAAGGTTATTTATTAGTGGTTTGCAAATCAGGCGTAAAAATCAGGGTATGATGATATTGATGAGTGTATGTAAGTTGTTGCACAAGCTATATTTTATTTAACTTCGTTTCTTTTATATTTTTTGAAACGTTTTATGCTTGATATAAATTTCAAGCAACGCCAAGTGGCAATTTCAGAATCGAATGTCTTCCAAGTTTGTCTTTTTAAAATGAAATTATTTCATTAAGGCTCATGACAATGCTACTTTTTAGTAGCAGTTTAATAAATCATATATTTAATGAAAATAAAATTTAGATTAATTTAAATATAATATTTATGTAATATGTAAATTATAAACAAAACTTTACAAAATCAATTTTAATCTGTAATTTTAATGCATTTTAACCATCTACATGATGTTATGAAATCAATAAATTCAACATTATAAAATTATACTTATTGATGAAGTTCATATAGTAAAAGATGTACTTCTTTTTAAAGAATTCATGTACTCATTTTATCTAAATTATTATCTGAAAATCTATCTAAAATGTTGTAAAATATAATACGCATAGTAATTATATATATATAAGCTACATTGTTATTTAAAAATCCAAAGGTCAAAATTTATAAAATATTTTAATATGTAAGTAATAAATATTTAAAATTTAAAACTATTTTTGATGTTTTATTGAATAATAGTGTATTATTTTTAAGAGAGCAAATCTAATGAACTAAATCAACATTCTTGGCAGAAATACTTTATCAATATGGCGCTATTTTATAAGGGGTTTTATTATTGAATACTTAGGTTTTTTGTTAAAAATTTATCAGTTTTTAGAGTCGTACTATTAGCGTTAAAGAGTTTTTAGTCCAATTAGATCTTTCTAGTATATGTAAACTGTATGTCCTGTAGAGCTCGTTAAAGTAATAACACAACTTATTCATAAATATTATATGTTGAACTATTGTTAATATTTTAATATTATTGCAGTTTTTTATTGTACTTTTATTGAAGTCTTATCAATTTTAGTATTTGTGGGCTTAGTCGAAGACTAACAATTGTAGAGTTTTCATTTACAAATGGTACGTCGAGCTCTATTAAATACATACAAACAATTTTACTCAGTTTCAATTGGATTATTGTTAATATATTAATGTTTGATATTAACAACACATTTTTCAAATACAGATATATTTTATTTGTCCGGTGGTAATAATACAAAACGTTTTTTTTTTCAAATATTTTTTTGATATTAATATCTATTTTTATAATTATTATAATTTCTTTTAACCTACACGAAATATACAATGAGAGAAACGATTCATGAGGAACACATTTCCTTTTATTTTGTTGAATTTAAAGATAATTGCAAATCAAATGAAAAATAGATGCATATTATTGGAAAAGTTTTTAAATAAATATAAATAGAAAGATTCTCTAATAACATGAACCAGCACTTGTATAAAGTATTTATTGTTATAAGTAACTATAATAAATAATTATTCTGGCTAAGTTTTTATAGTAAAACAAAGTAAGGTCCAATAATCAATCCAGAATGTAGAACATCTGCTGTAAACTATATTAAATCATTTGTAACATATCTCAATTTGATTTGCAATTATTTCTAAAAAATCAGTACAAGCCTCCATCGTACTTTAATTATATATATATTTATTTTTCTTTGCAATTTTTTTCACATTTATACAAGATTTAGTTAAAAATATTTTTCATTTTTATTATTTTTCTCTTTTCCCTTATAAGTATTATTATCTTTTGTCGTCCTTTTGTGCAAAGTGGGAGAAAATATTGAAAAACTTGAATAAATTCATTTTTGAGAACACGATTATAAAATTTGATACAAAATAAAACATGACAAGATATCAACTTTATGGCTTTTATTGAATACGATTGTTTTTGTTTTAAAATACCATTAGTTTAGTAATTGGTGAACTTTTTCTTTGATCGTATTGAATAAAAGCTACTCAAAGCTCCTTCAGTGTATCTCATCATCAGTTACTTAAAATTAAAACGTATTTCAAACAAAGCTTTGCAAATGCAAATTCAATGAATAGTTAAGAAGTAAAAATTGTTGGAAAAAGACAAACTGCTCTTAAAATCTATCGGTCAATACTAGGAAAAGTATCAAATGTTAAGTCACTTAATGAAATATGTTTAAGGCCAAGAACACACTACGATCAAAAAATAAGTAAATCATATTAAAGAATTTCCAAAAAAACACATTTTACTGGTTGCGACCAATCATGAAGGAAATGGTTCCTTTCATGTAAATAATAAAATAAATAATGTTTAATTGAGTTGCAGATATTAAATACTATATGATCAATTAATTCTTTTAGAAACATCATAATCGTAATTCGAAATTGATTATACAGTATAAAAGCAACTATAAAAATACGAATTCAAAACCAACAATAAACAATTTTTCATAACTAGAAGAAAATCGCAGTATGTAAATGGTTTGTAATATTCCACAATATATACAATGACCTTCTGCGTGATGATAGAATGTCTAGTTTTGCAAAAAAAAGTGAATTTTGGTGAAAAATTTGGCATAGAGACTATCATAATATATCATAATGTATCATAATAAATTATAATATATCTCGATATTTGTTATATCATAATATATTATAATATATCTTGTTATTTGTTCTATTTCGATCACAAGTTACAATTTGAATGACTATTAATATTAATAAAAAATGTAATTACTTATTGCCAAATGGATTATCGAAAATATTTTGTTTTTTATTTATCACCTGTTCTACAATAAGTGCCAAATCAAATATATTATATTGTATATTTTATCATAGCATTTTAAAACTTTGAAAAATTGAGGGCAGAATTCAGAAATGCACAAGCAATTCAAAACTGCTTTAGTGCCTTTATTTTTAACAATTTTTTCAAAAATTGCTAATCAACTTCAAAGTCAATATCAGACAAAATTAATTCTCTTGAGACAAACAAATTGAATATACTTATGTATTTTTCAAAACTGACTTAACAAATTTATTTTATTAGTGGTTTAGTAAATTTTTGTCTATATTAACCGTTTAACCATTGTTCAAATAATTTTGATTTGAAACCAAAGTGTACTTCATTATTACAAAAAATAAATCTCATAAAAAACATCAGTTTTTTTAAAATGTAAAGATTGTAATTAACTAATTTATAAAACTGAAAATTTATTTTGCTATAATCATTTTCAGCAAAAAGTTATTTGGTCAATTAAAGTAAAACATGTAAAACTCTTTCAAGTAACATAACTCTATAACAAATAAATAAATCAACTCCAATTGAAATAAATATAATTTAAAAGACTGTACTCTTTTTAAAATCATTTGGATTGCAATTAATTTCAAGTGACAATTATTTTTAATATTCATTGAATAATATATATATACTAATAATCTATTCAAATATGTTAATTTGTTATCGTAAAGAGAAATTTTTCTTTATATTTGATGATATTTATGCTGTGAATGTATCAAATTTTGATAGATATGCATTTGGAATTTGTATAAGTGCAGTGTACATTAATGACAAATAGTTGTTTATCTTGAAATAGTAATAAAACCTTTAAATTTTGAAGTAAATATCATATTTCTTGTATTTTAAATGCAAAGCAACTTATGCAAATAAATAAATAGAGTAGTGTAGTATAGAACTTTTGTTAAAATCAAAGAAACAGTTATATGAGTACAAAATCTGTTCGGCAATCAACTTCTAATATTTATATCTGAACAACTTGGATATATAATTCAAGAGAAATCAAAATTACACTTTGATGTACATATCTGAAATATGATGTTTATTTACAGTATAAATATCTGTAAATATATTAAAAATCTCTCTTTATGATGACCTATTAGCATATGGGAATAGACCAGTATTAAAAAATACAATATTAAAACTAATTTTCACTAATCAGTTAATGCTTCAATATCCTCAATGAACCAAATTGCCACAGTCAAAATCTAATTTATAGAACAAAGTATTCAACGATACAAATCAAATGGTTATTTTCAGCTCAATTCACTTTATGATTTGACTAACTATTCACCTCAAAAAGTATAACTTCGATTCTATCACCACGTTTATAGATCTGTGAATGTCACTCAAGATGAAAAATGATGATCACTAACTAATTAATCAATAAAAAAAAGTTTAACAAAAAGAATAATCATTGTTTTGACTAAATTAGAGATCAAAAATCAATTGCCTTCGCACCGATGGCGAATGTATTAAACCTACATTTTATATATTAATATTAAAACATATATAAAAACATAGCAGGAGTACATTAAGATACATATTAATTCATTAATTCGGGATTTACAATAACTTATAAACCTTCATATGATTAAGAGATTTAATGATTCGAAACCATAAGTAAAGGAGTTATGTGTGAAATTGTGTAAAAAAATAAATGAGCCTTTGGTAATTGAGATTTATAATTAAAACCAATCATATTAAACATTGAGAAGAAAAGTAAAATATGCTGATAAAGTCACATGATATAAGATTGGAAATAATCATATTTAACAATAAATAAAAAGAATAAAATAAAACGAGTTGCTATGTGCTTAAAATAAACTCAGTCATTTAGATACAACATTATTATTTATTTTATATAATATGTTATAATAATAATTATCTTAGAAATTCAGTGAATAAATTAAAATCAGTCAACAATAAAGAAAGTAAATGTTCTGAATATTACTATTAATTATATTTAGTTCAATTGTACTCAAAAACTTTTTAAAAAATGAATTCAATTTTATTGGAAACAAAAAAGGTTGTTTTCTAAAAAATCAATTACATCATTTAAGGCTCATTTACATTAAGGTTTATTATTGATTAAAATTCAAATATACTAGACCTGCCTTGCAATAATAGTAATAGTATCTAAATAAAAACTCTTAGTAAAAATTACATCTTCGAATTATCAGTATAATATATAAACTATTCATATATATAAATCCATCATTAATATAAA